AAATGTCCTCAATCTTTATTGATTACATAAACATATGCTAAGAATTCATAAAATAAAAGTTTGGTAAAGGAAGATAAAAAGGGAACCACATTGGAGGTAGACTCGTATCAAGTTTAATCCCAAAACTCAATCCAATTCATGCAAGTTGGATATATTAAGATTAAATTAAACCCACCAACTCTATATGAAATGATAGAGTAATTTGAACTCAAAATCCTTCAATAATGCATATTTTAAATTAAAAAAAAATTTAAGGGTAAATTATGCATATAATACCTAAACTCTCAGTTTTTTTGTCTATTTTAGTACCTAAACTTTCAATTTTTTTTAAAAAAATCATACATAATGTTTAGTTTTTGTTTCGTTTTAATACACTGTCATTAAAAACTTAACGCGTTTAGTACCTAAACTATTGGTTTTAATAAGTTTTAGTACCAAAATTTTCTAAAAAATTCAAAATTTAACGTTAAATTTTGAACTTGGGTACTCGAATAAAACAAAAATTGAACTTTAAGAATGGTTTTGAAAACAATAAAAATTTAGGTACTAAAATAGTTTACATATTAAACGTGCAATTTGCCCTAACTTTAAAATTCATCTGTTTCGAAATAAATTTAAAAAAAAATAATCAAAATATGAGTTAATCTAATCCATATTGAAGTTATTACCTAACTTGTTCAATTCATATGTCTGCATGAAGGAATTCATTTATCGAATCAGATTCAACTCGATCCAGAGTTCTAAACGTCGGAGCTCAAGTTTAAGCATATTTCGGATGAATTTCCTTTACAACTCACACACTCTTGACATTAGCATATCACTTCCACACAAACTCACACCGCAAACAATTCAAATTTGAATTATCTATAAAAAGGTGAACATCGACGATCAACAGATCCACTTAAACCCTACTACCTTTTTATTGAAGTAACCCTAACTATTGTGTCGAATTCCGAATTGGGACAGATAACCTAACCCCTCTACAAATCCAGAGGGCAGGTTGGATGAACCTGATTGGGGGGCTAAATCTGGTTTACCCTACCAGGTACGTCAATAATATGATCATGCATGTCATTTTCAGCAACGCCAATAATGATGAGCTGAACTGGCTTTACGTTAGTGAATCGAAGAAGGCAGCCACAAAATTTAAAAGATGATGGTGCCCAAAAGGTTTTTCAACACTAATTCGGTCATGCCATTAATATATATCACCTTCCCCCCTTCATTGTACACACATACAGTTTTCCCAGTTCAATTATGGAGATGGGCCGAAAATAATAAATGAATGAAAATAAGCAATCTCGTCCCCACGAAATATTCTCATGTCCTAGTATTTTTTTAATGTTAACAAGTATTATTTTAATTATAATAAAATTTGAAAAACTGAAATAATTAGCTGTATTTTAATTATAGTCACTAATCTGTTAACAAATGATATTTGAACGTTAATTATTAAATGGTTGAGATTCTTCGTATAGATACTACCACCTGCTAGCGGCTTAGATTAAAGTTAAAAAACTTTTTTGATTACTTTAATGATCTTTTGATATTTATCCCAAACCTCACGTTGGTGTGTCCTATACATCCATGGAGAGCCAAACCCTTATTTATCAATGATTAATTACTCAAGTGAGAGATAAAATCCATAAAATAAGTGATCATTATGGAAATGATAATGATAGTTATCATTTCTTTTAAGAAAAAAGTGGGTCAAATTCTTTTTTTAATTCATGATATATATATATATATATATATATATTATTAATGAATATGAATTAAATCCACAACTTATATATAACGTATATACTAATATAAAAGTTCAACAGTCATTTTGGTATTAAACGAATCACATATAGTTAGTTAATTAACAAAATTATTGATATAATAATTTTAAATTTTATATAATAATATATTTAGTGGTTTGTGTTTTTACATTGTTTTTTTTAATCTTATTGTGGCCAAGAAAACAAAAACTTGTGATGATTCTTAGCTGGAAGTCAAATCAAACTAGGCAGAAAGATTTAAAGATGAGATGAAACACCAGAAAAAGTTTGTCCGCTAAACTATATTATTTATTTTCAGTCCAAAAAGAATGATGTCATGCAAACAGGCCCTTTTTTTAAATTAAAGAGGAAAATAAATAAATAAATAAATATATTAAACAAAATCTACATTTTGTCAGTCTCAGATAGCATATACTTCAAAGAGAGAGAGCAATGAGTCTGGCATCTGGAAAGTTAGATATAGCTAGCAATCAACTAACATTATTGGAGTGCGGAACCCCTCCTCTTATGCAAACTTTAGGTTTATTTACACATTTGATCCCAATATTTTTCAAACATCTGAAATTTTGATTTTACTTTTAATTCCAAAATTTAATATCCGAAACTCGATTTAAAAACACGAACAATTAAGATACAATATACAATCCTGTTTATCTTACACTACGTTAACCTTTCACTGGTCACATTTTGAGATTATATTTTTGGGTTTAAACCCATTTGATCATCGATAAGTATATTTGGACTTTGATTGGGACATATACTCGAACTATAAATAGCATTATCTTTTAAATTTGCTAGAGACCCTAGAAGGATGTATGAACCATTGCACCATGCTACTACTACAACATTGAATGATACGTTTCCATTTTTAAGTCAAGCAAGTAGAATGACAAAAATTATTAGGAAATCGAGATAGAATGACCAAATTTTAAATGTATAAAGAGTACAGGGTCTAAATACAAATTATATCAAGACAGCACCGAAATAATTCAATGGTCGAAAGATTTGTATACAGTGGCACAAACCCAAAGAAAAAGGAGAAGTTGTTCATATCCGTTCGCATTTTAAAAAATCTGTCTGGCAAGCTCTTCGACGTACACTTGTCATTCCCAAACAAATCCCAGCCACATATGGCCGGAAAAGAAGGATAACAACATCTTTTTCTTTTTGTTTTCAGCTTTATTTTTTTATCTTTTCATTTCCCCATCAACCAATAAACCTTCATTTTAATATATTTTAATATGTGGTAGGCCTTATTAAATTATTATTTACGTTGAGACGAGATATATAAAATTTTATTTTTTAGATGAAATTTCGATTTAAAATTCTATAGATAAATGATTAGCGTATAGGTTGATATCTCATCTTGAATGCTTTTTTACCTCATCCGATATTAGCACTAATGCACTGGATTTCATCATAACTCTGCACTTAAGTATATTTGGACGAGAGTCGTACTAAAATGAATAACTTTTTAAGAAGTTTTCATGTTGCACTCCTCATTTAAGCACGTACTAACTTACTTCAGTGATTAAAAGAATTGTTGTTATTTTTAGAGGTCATGGGTTCGAGCACTAACGTCTACAACAGAGTGTTGAACGTTAACTGTTAAATGGTTAAGAGTATTTAGAACAAATATTACTTTATAATCATCTTAGCTTAATAAAAAATAGTATTAGATTCAAATAATTTTGAATTTAAATTATATTAAATTCAGTTATATCGATATTGTATTTTGAATTCATGTTAAGAATTGCGAGTGCAAAACCAACAAATAATGGTAAATTTCGAGCAAAAAAAAAGTATAATGTTCATAGAACGTAAAACTCCTAACTGACTTTTATTTTAAATTTTACTTTTTTTTGAATTAATCATTAGTATTCGATCTATTGACCGACTAATTCAGATCGGGTACAACAGAAGCGAGGGCAGCCCTCCCAACTTAGTTTGCTTCATTCGCAAACGCAATTATTCGAACCCCTGACTTTGCTTAAGAGACCTAGTATCTCATCTCACTAGACCAACTAGATCATATACTACAACGAGTTTATTAACCTTCAAAATTAATATATAAATTTATGTATTAATTATAAATTCAATATAGGATTGCAGCTTAACTAGATCATGCAAGAAAATTGTCCGAGAACAAAGAGGAGGGAAGTTAACAGTTCTCTTGCATGTCGATCTTAAGGATATGGACGAAATAAATGCGTTCCCAATTACAAGCATTTAATTCGAAAATATCAATATCGATTAATGTCAAGTTAATCCAAATTATAAAATAACACGAATTAAAAACTTTTTGATGGTAATACCTTTATTTTATTATTCATACTTATTTGTTTTACTAATATCATTATGGTTTTTATATTTTAATAGTCTAAAACAGGGATAGAGTCAGGATTCTAATTGAAGGGAATAAAATATAATTAATTATAGAAATAAGGGGAAAATATAATTAACCATAAAAAACAAGAGAGGCAAAATTAAAATTTGAAACCCTAATTTAATATTTTCTCATATATTTTTTAATAATAAAAATGAGAGGGCCAGTGTATCGGGACTAAGCGTATGTTCTTCCTAGTATGAGGTGATTACAAGATAATATTTATTCATATTTACACTACAAATACAATTACACGAACTTTAAACCCCAAGAGTGAATAACACTAACTTTAACAACTGATACCACTCAATAGATTCTATTTCTAAAATACACTATTACATACACAATACTTATTCATATAATTTCAACTAAATCCTAATAGATATGAATCAAACTACCGTAATAATTAAATGAAATATTTTTATTTCTAAAAGTCTTAAATTCGAGTAATAAAGTATGCAAGATATTTAAACTTTTATTTTTAAATGGTTGTAAATTTTAATAACAAATATTATAATTTGTAAGTACTCTATATTAATCATAAAAAATAAATCCTAATAGGATATAGGCAATAACGTAGGAAGGGCAGACACGCTAGAAAGTGACACGTGGAGCTAAGAACAATATGGTAATGGAAAATGATTTTTCATGCTGTGTATTTCCACGTGTCATGCAAAGGATGAAGAGTTTAATACGGACTCTTGCTTTACATATAGCCCCAAACATTTACCCCCCACCAACACTCCCCTATATATACAACCCCCATCTTCCCTCGTCCCTCAACATCCAGCCAGAGTGTCCGAGACAGAACACAATTAGAGCCTCCTCCTCCATTTTCGTTCCTTCCAAAAACACAAAGCTCAAAGCATAATAGTTATCCATTTCTGTTCCGTTTGTGAAAGAAATAGCCATAATGGTCGATCACCATGTTTTTGCTGTCGCATTTGGCGTCTTAGGTTAGTATTATTACTTGCAGAATGCCGTTTTAGCATCCACAGTTACACCCTTTTCATTCTCTGCAATTCCCATTACATGATGATTGTTGATGTCTCGAAGCTCTCGATCGGGACATCAACAATCATCGTGCTGTTTATAAACAGCTTCGGTTTCGTTTTGTATTCGGGTTTGAGTCTGTCAAATCTTTGCTTCCCATTTTATTGAACACTTACCTTCTCCTTGTTCTTCACTTCTTTTGTTTTCAGGTTTTTTTTTATATTTGTTCTTCATGATATATATATATATACTATATTTGTCTGTTCTATTGGTTTTAGGCAAGTTGTAATACCTGAAGTCTAAGATAACTGTGATAATTAATGCTCATATATATATATATACTTCCCTCGATTCGGGGCAAGGGCAAATGATAGTGTTTAGTTGTATATACGAATTAGATACGATTATTATACGAATAGTTTGAATACCATAGACGTACGCATATCACTTCCGCTGTCAAAATCCCACTGTAGTCACCTTAATGATTCATTTCATATAGAAAACGGCAGCGTTTTCTGTATCTGCATGGATGCATGTTTAAACCATTTCCTTTTTCTCATGTTGGACAGTAAAAAGTTATGACAGTAACTAACCAATGAATTCACTTGCTTTTGCTGATGACAGGTAATGTCATCTCATTCCTGGTATTTCTGGCACCAGCGTAAGCATCAATTCTTTATTATTTTTTTAACTTTTTTATTTTTTATTATATTAATTAGATAAAGAGAAATAACCCTTTTCTTGGAATAAATTTCAGGCCAACTTTCTATAGGATTTACAAGAAGAAATCAACAGAGAGTTTCCAGTCATTACCATACCAAGTAGCACTGTTCAGCTGCATGCTGTGGTTATATTATGCTTTGATCAAAAAGACTGCTTTCCTCCTCATGACCATCAACTCCTTTGGATGTGTTGTGGAGACTCTATACATCTCCATGTTCCTAGCCTATGCACCCAAGAAGAGCAGGGTAAGAAGGGTTTTCATTAATACGAGGATCGAATTCATAATTTCCCCATACATATATGCACTGTTTAATTTCATCAAAGGTCCTCAAACAATGATCCAGATTCCAAATTGATATTTAACTCGGTCCTCAAACATAATTTAGGGTCTTCTGGTGAAATTAATCATATATGTATGACCCAGATTCTAAATTGATCCTAAGTTCGTGTCCTCAAATATGATCACGTATTCTATTGTATGAACAGTTTAGATTCGACGTGTCAACTTATTTTGGTTCTGGAATTCTACAGATGTCTGCTATGAAGCTTTTCGGAGCTATGAACATGGGGCTATTTTCATTAATACTTGTTGTTACACACTTCTTTGTGAAGAGTTCAATTAGGATTCAAGTTATTGGTTGGATCAACGTTGCCATAGCTGTGTGTGTATTTGCTGCACCTTTGAACATTATGGTGAGTGCTTATTTAATGGCTCTGATATGACCCATTTTTAAAAAAAAAAATTCTACTTATCTTTTGGTCCCTCTGGTTTTGATTTTCTTTCGGCTTATTAATTACTTTAATTACCCTTTTCTTCAGGTAAGGGTCATTCGGACAAAGAGTGTTGAGTTCATGCCTTTCAACCTATCGTTTTTCCTCACGTTGAGTGCAATTATGTGGTTTTCTTATGGAGTCTTTATCAAGGACCTTTGCGTAGCGGTAAGTGGCTGCGTTTATTTTTTGGGGTTAATTTCATACTACATCCTTAACTATGATCAAAATTCTAAATTGATATCCAATTTTGAAATTTCTAACTTAATACATCAACACCAAATCAATTAGATCTTTCTATTAACTTATTCGTCAATACAGACAATAAATGCTAGCTAAAATATATGAAGTATTAGTAAATATGTGGGCATGTATCTATGAAGGGCTAATCCAAACGGAGGGAAGGGGGCTTGAAAAGAAATGGTGAAATTTTGGTTTTGGACCTTCTTGAGAATTAGTAATTCAATTTAGCCCATTTTAACAAGTCAGTCTAAATTATCCATATTGATGCTTTGAGAACTCGAACTTGAACTATAATTTCGGGTCATTTGATTCCTTTTTCCTATGTGGGACAGTTCATTTATTTAATTTTATTCAATTCGAGCCACTAAATTATCATACTTTTGTCAATATCTCAGGTCCCGAATGTGCTAGGCTTCATCCTTGGAATGCTCCAAATGCTGTTATATGCCATTTATAGAAACTCCGACAAGGTTGTGGAGGAGAAGAAGGTCCCAGAAGAAACCAACAACCCCATTGCTGGCCTCAGCAAATTAGGCTCATCTGAGGTTCATCCCATAGACATAGATACTGACACCGATAATAATACAAAACAAGGTGACAAAGAAAACGACCCGACAGCTGAGCCTGATGAGCACCACAAAAGCTTGGAACTCTCCAGTAAACTCCACTTGGATGAATCTCCTGTCTGATTCAAAACAAGTACATCGTATGAATGTGTGTATTTTTGAGTTTATTTCACTTTGGCCCCCCCATTCCCATGATTATGTATATTGTGAGGTTGTATCTCAGTTTGGACCCCGATTATGTATTTGTGGGTATATATCAGTTTGGGCCCTCCCTGGTTTAAATTATATCTTGTATGTCACATTGTTTTGGAATAGCAGAATGAATGTTTTTCTCTAGTTTTTTGCTCTGATGAACAAGTGTTTTTTTTTTGTGTTTGATATTTGTTGATGATTGAACTGCAAAGCTGATTGAAATTTCAGGGAAATGTCTGTTTGTTTCTGGCTAATATACTAAATAAGCCATTGAAATTTATCACTTTATTTAAGTAAGCCATATACTTCCATTGCACTTAATATAGGGACTTAATAAGAGAAGTAAACTACTTCGAGGGCTCTTTTAGTAGTTTAACAAATTTCTTAACATTATTGGGCTTTCACGGGATCATGGAGGAACGTTCAGTTGTGTGATTGGGTTAATATACAGAATATGCCCTTGAACATTATCGCTTTATTTAAGTAAGCCCTATACTTTCATTACAATCAATATAGGGACTTAATTAAGAGAAGTAAACTAGTTCGACGGCTATTTTAGTAGTTTAGTCAAATTTCTTAACATTATTGGCCTCGTAACTGGGGGTTTGAGGAAGGTTCATTTACGGTATCATTTTGTTCATTCATTTTCAGAACAAGACAAGAACTTGGTCGTTGACGTAATAATAATATTATTACATTAACAGACAAACAGAAAAGTTCCGTACAGAACGTGACCTTAGAGATTACAAAGAACAAGGGATCAAAATTGACCCATACTGTCCTTTACCATAGCAAAATTTTATGAAACGTCTTGGTTCTCTCTTTAGTTGACGATATTGTACACTCTCCATCATGCTTTTTATCTTAATCATCGTCGTCGTTTTATCTCACCCCACATCTTGGCTTCGGCTACGGCTATGGTTCGTCCCTATCCTAATCCCTCTTCAACATCCTGGTGGTTTCTCTTGGGGAGTCCTCCTTCTCAGACCCTTCTAGATTCCCCCCACCTATGGCTAGATGCTGCTTCTCCATTGTTTTTCGATATCCTTACTCCTGTTTCATCTCGGTGTCTTTTTTCACCTGTATCTCCGGAGCCTCTGGAGCCATGCCCTGCTGCATTAGGATCATGTGCCTGGTTTGCCAAATTCGAGAGAGCAGTGAACACATCCCCGATAAGAGGACGTGCTGCAGCCTGCTCTTGAATGCACATGGATGCCTACAGCTCGGGCTTGGTAGAGACCTCACATTGGATACCGTCCCTGCAAGAGAGGATCTGCCAGTTTCGAAAATTTGCGGCGGTTATTGAATAAGGGACGTGCCTGTATATACATCAACCATGGGGAAAAAAACAGACCTCAATTATTAAGTAGGATTTGGCAATACTTGCTCCACAATAGTTAGGCAACCAAACTACGGAAACATTTCAAATGCATTACCCATGTGACAAGATTCTGTTCTCCATGGGGCCGAGTGCCGTCGATAGCTTTCCTTCCGGTAATTAGCTCTAACAAGACAACCCCGAAACTGTAAACATCAGATTTCACCGTCAATTGACCCCTGGAAATATGTGATTTATCTCCAACAGGACCAAGTTTCGTGAGCCCGAAATCGGATAACTTCGGGTGAAATCCTTCATCCAGTAATATGTTGGAGGACTTGAAGTCCCTCTAAATTACGGGAGGGTTTGCTTTATCATGGAGATATTCCAAACCCTTAGCTGCACCGGCTGCTATCTTCATTCTCGTGTTCCAATCTAATGGTTCCTTATCAAGTGGAACGATTGCAGAGAGATAAATAACATTAGATTGTTGTAGCACTGGTTTCTCGGGATAAAATGAAATAACGAGAGTATTTGTATCATTAGAGCACCAGAAGTGCAGCAAAATATTATCATGAAGGTGATCTTCCAAGGATCCCAAGGGCATGAATTCATAAACAAGAAGTCGTTGATCTCCTTCAGCACAATAACCGATCAGGTTAACTAGATTCAGATGATGAAGAAGGCTGAGCATGAGAACCTCGACCAGAAATTCCGTGTTACCCTGAAGACCATTTCTATCCAACTGTTTGACGGCATCTACCTGAAAAGGCAGAACCTATATATATATAAGAGACTCGAATCACTTCAATCACATTAACTCCTCAAGCAGTACAAGATTTAGATAATTATCTGCTGCTAGAACCTTGAATCTGTGTAATTTCAAAAGAAAACCCCGGAGATGCTCTTTTCAATCTCTTATACACGTGTTCGACAATGCTGGGAATGAAATAATTTGTCATCCAAATTACACGGTTAGATATTCTCACCATAGTGTTTCTTCTGCTAAAAAAAGTCTATATTAGCTAACAAACTCCAGCAGGATGAATGATACTTTCTTTCACCTAAGTATCAACTATACTCGGATCTTAATCAGATCATCACGATAGACAAAACATGATCAATCGAGGGTTATCAAATTAAAGAACCGCATCCAAGTTCAATAATTCAACTTTTAAATAGATGTGCACTAAGATTGAGCTGGAATAGACATTGAAAGACATCTAAAGGATTAAAAAAACCTGAACAAAAGAAGCATACCAACTAATGCTTCTATAATGGTGACGTTTCCGAGTTTACTAATGCTTAACATGCTACGTTAACAAATGTTAGAATCTTAGGAGAAACAGAGCATTTTTTCCGGACAGTCTTGAAAGTCTAAACAACTATACAAACTAGCATGATTCCTTTCAGACTCGGTTTAATTAATGATTTATTATAGCTAACATCACATTTATATGCTTTTAATATTTTTCCAAAACACTGAAACAATTACCTGACCAGTATTCTCAAGGCACCCTTTGTACACACTTCCGAATCCACCTTCCCCTATGAAAGATTCCGGCCTGAAGTTCTTCGTTGCAGCCGCAAGCTCAGGGAAACTAAAAATTTGAGCAGCAATTTGGGTACCAGGCCCATCCCTGAGACTTGGTAGTTCCTTTTTGGAACCTCCATTACTTCTTGATTTAAGCCTTTCCCCTCCTGCCAACTCCATCAAAACAGATACTATTAGAGATCTAATTACCATTTTAATGCGAAAAAAAAAACTAACAAGAAGAAAGACAAAAAAATAATAATACAATCTCAATTCTCAAGCTCAGTGACACGACAAGAACTATTTCCAATGCTTTGTTTTAGCCTTGTGGTTTGATTACAATTACATATAGCTGCTCATTTAATACATGTATTCATACTGTTGGACAATCGCAGACACCGTCTGGATCAAAGGCACGTGAATGACTAGTAGCCAATGTTGACTACTCAATGACTATTTTCACTATAATTGAAGAAGGGTTGGGGAGAAACTATCACCAAACTTCCCACTATAATGATTTTGTTTAATTAAAAATAACTCATTTTTTGGCGTCCTTATCCAAAATTTATATAAAATTTCTAAATCAACCAATAATCGTTAAATGGTTCATTTATTTTTGGTCTAATTCTGAATATCAACCTTTTACATTATGAAGCTAAAAAGTTTATAATTTCAACCAAACAATGAAGAAAATAAATTTCCAAAAAATAAATTACATGAAACAAAATATATTATTAATTTCACGGAGGATGCAATAATTCTGACTGGGACCTCTTTCCCACTATCCTCGACTTTTCCTATCAATTGCTACCACTTGGGCTCCATCTCCATTATTCGATGTCATTGTCTCTGAATTATTCATTGCTTAACGTGCTTCCACTTTCATCTCCATTCCTCTGTTTTCTTCCTTTTACTCTGATTTTTCCTTTTGCTTCTTTCTTCTAATAATCCCACCATGTCTTTCGTCGGAGAGGCTGCTCTTTCTAAGCTTCTGGAGCTGTTGCTCGGCAAGTCCATCGATGCTGCTCTCAACTTTGTTGCTGACCACAACCAACTGTAAGACCAGCTCAATGAGTGGAAATCCATATTGTCCGATATCAAAACAGTGCTGAGCCAAGCAGAGGAGAAGTAGATCAAGGACGAGGGTGTATTAAAGAGAAAGAAAAGGATAATAAATGCACCAAGAACTTTCTCGTATCTTATTGCTTGACAACAAACTTCACAGTGAAAACTATTTATAGTTTTTACAAAGAAAAAGAAATAACAGCGCCTCGAGAGTTGTAATTGCCTAACAATTGGCGCCAAACGAGCTAACCACCTAACCACCTGGGATAAAGAGCAGCCCATGCATGGGCACGTGCACACGAGCCTTTACTCATGCATGAAACTCTAATATTCACCCTGCTTTCATAGCTTTCTTCACTTGACCTCGATCACGTCAAACACACACAGTTTGTTCCTCAACATCTCAAACTGACTGAGTGCGAGTGGTTTGGTTAGGTCGTCTGCAACTTGTGTCGGAATGTAGTTGACTTGAATCTCTCGAGCACTAACCTTCTCCCGTACAAAGTGTAGATCAAGCTCGATATGCTTGGTTTTAGCATGCAGGATAGGGTTTGTTGTCATGGCTATAGCATTAGTGTTGTCACACCATATTTTTGGTATTTCGGTAATTGGCACAACCATTTCATTCAGCACAGCTTTGACCCATACGAGCTCCGAGGCTGTATCTGTATACTTTTATACTCGACCTCAGCAGTGGATCGGGACACCGCCCGTTGTTTCTTCGAACTCCAGGTCAACAAGTGACTCCCATTGTATACGCAAAAACCAGACATGGATCGTCTGTCGTCTACATCTCCGCCCCAATCCGAGTCAGCAAAAGCGTTGATACTCACCATGTAACACCCTACAATCGATTGGGATTAAAGTGCCACATTGAGCTACTGAGACAACCCCTGATTTTTTTTTTTAAAACTGATCATTTTCATTCAAACCTGCTGAATGATATCATAATTAAAAAAAATAAATGATTGTTGTAAAACATTTTACAAACCCAGAGCTCCGTGACACATAATTTAAAATCAGATAATACAACTCTGAGTTTAATAAACTAAATACATTAGTAAGGAACTATGAATACATTAGTAAGGAACTATGAATACATATGCCTACTAAGCTATGATACAATACTCTAAAGGGGATGTTGGAAGTCCTGCTGCAACAGTGCTCCACGAACTGCTCAAGCTACTGACATGCCAACGGAAAACATCTGAAGGCTGAGCTTAT